CGTTGTTAACTCTTGTCCTCTATAGCCCCTTTGTGCACCAAAAATCCTTGCATTTTCTAAGAACCTGGACCGGCGGTCCATAATGTCTAGATTGTTCATTTACAAAGCAAGAGAAACTGATCACATGCAGGACTAACCAGAAGAGTATTTATAGTTGAAGGGTTGGGTGATAGAATAGAAAAAAAAGGAAAACTGACCACAGCAGTAAGGAGAACGTTACTGAAAATAATGCAAGTAATCAAACATTACTGCACAGCAATCAATGACACATTAAATAAACTTAACAGTAATGTCAAATGATAGAATGTCAACATAAAAATGATTTACAATCAATATCAAATGCTAAAGCAGTCAAGATTGGGAAAAAAAAAAAAAATCTCAGACTACTTCCTAATTGTGATATTACACTAATTAAGGTAAGTATAAACAGTTCATATTTTTTACTATCATTTACTTAACAGTTAATACTGCCACTCTTCAAACCCTAATTATGTAAGTCACTATTATAAAAAATGGTGCCTGTAATCTAGGGAATGTAAAAGTTTTTTAAGTATTTAAAAAAATTTATGAAATAAAATTTCAATTGTCTAGGGTTTCCCGGGTTTTAAATAACAGGCGCCGACACACTTGTGTGGCCTCAGATTATTATTCCGGAGAGCGCCTCACTTGTCGTGGAACAGGTTCCTTTTACACTCACTAAAGTGGTGTTATCTTGTTAGGAACCGAGACAACTGTCTTTTGGTGCAAAGAGCAGACAGTGTCCCTGGATACTCAGATACAGACTCGAATTGGCTCGCGAAAGAAGGTGAGCTGCCTGAATATCCCCAGAAAAGGGATAAGGGAATTTAGATGCCTAACACTTAGACAGAGCAGATTACCCCTCCCGACAATTTCCCTTTCTGGTAATAAAATTAAGCCCCCATCTAGACTATGTATATTGGTAGACAGCACTGACACCATACATACATCTAGAAATAGAAATAAACTTTAACTATGAGTTTAAATCAATCATAGGAATGTTTATTAAAATTAAAGTAAAATTCAATCATCTATTTACTTTTGAAAATACATTATTCAAACTAAGTAGGATGAAAGATAAAAATGATAGTAACATGAAACTGTCGTCATGAGAGGATCAGTGGGAAATAACATACAACAATTACCACCTGGAGTTTCCCAGAGGATCATCCATTTCAAAGACTGAGGTGGAATGTCGGATCTGTCCCAAGCACCAAGATCTTCCTTAGGGCACTCCAATCATTAGCTACAACCAGCCTGGCAGTGGTTTGGAAGCTCGTCCTGCCACAAGGAATCTGTCCTCGGCTTTTCAGCAGCTAGGGATGGAAACAATCAAAAAATATATAGTCCCTGCTGTTTTGCAAAATAAAATATATTTCCAACTTTCCCCTCTCTCTTCATATTGTCAGAAGTGGGATAATAGTCTAGTAGCATTGTCATTTACATAGCTTCCACTTCTGACTACTGTCCAGTCCAGATGAATGTCTTCCATCTTCTGTCCTTCAGGATGATAGTGTAATGCTCCTCATTTTTTCACAGACTCAGACAGCAATATGCAGTTATAAATGCAACACAAAATCAGACAGAATGTTATAGAATTCTCTCTATAAATATTGAGAATTCTAGATAAAAGGTCTTGCCTTTCCTTCTTCCAGATATTCCACTGTGCGGTTATTTTCTGGTTGAATCCTTCTTTTGTGAGGCTAAGAAAAACAGTTTCCCAGTGGGTAGTTTTCTCGGACAGCATGTCCTCAAAATCACAGCATTTAATACTGCTGTGTATAAGTAAAATAATACATTAATAACATCATGAATAATACATCAATAACCTGAAAACAAAATTCAGCACTTCTACAACAAGCAAACATTATGAATTATAGAAGTATGAGCATGAGAAGAACAATGTCTCCTATGAAATGTTACCATTGAAATGTTACCATTGAAATGTTACCAGTATCTACACAAACTCTGATAATCAGCCATAGATCATTCATCTACCAGCAATAGAAGATAGATAATTTCCTAAGAGTCTTAGAAACAGCAAACAGAAGTAACCTCCTAGATACCGAACAATAGGAATCAGGAATAGATCATAAAGAAATGGTTTCCTGTCCATGTGCAGAAATGGGTCAGCGTGGTTTTTCCTCTGTCTGGTACAATTCTAATATTGTACACGAAATGCGGCCCGAAAACTGAAATCACGATTTAATTAACAGTTACTGTGCTCACCTGGATTTAGATGTAACTATATGGTCATGTTGCTAGGGTTTTTAGGCGGCGAGAAAGACAAAGTTCTGCCAAAACGGCCCGCTCTAACACCTGCTTGCTGACCTGAAGTAAAATGGCTGGCAATCTTGTCTCACTGCGGGATTTCCGGTGTTGGCCAGATTTTTTCCCCGCTACGTTGCCGAGTTACTAGCCGTATATAACCGGGATTTATACGTGAAAGCTCAGGGGAATTACAAGTAGGACAATGGAAAATCGGCGTCCCAAACAGCATCACCGTAGGCTATACAAAACCGAAATCAAAGGATTATCTCTCAATGCGTCTTATGAGCGAAAATGAAGTCTAAGGGCGCATGTACAAGAGAGAAAAATAGAATGTGGTCGACACAACAGCTGCAACAGTCTATGGTAAAAGAAAACCTAGAAGTAAGCAAATACACAGACACTAAAAATTTTTAAAAGAAGGAATCTTTGAAAGAATAAGGAACATTCTCAGTGAACTGCCAGAGGCTAGAAATTATCTGCAAAAGGTTGCTAAACAGTGTGGACTAGTTGATCCAGTTATGCGATCGTATTCAAAGTACTGCCAGCAGTGGAACTATTAGAGGCATGTATGCAGGGATAAAGAAAATTATCTCTTAATGTCACACAGATAAAATTGCCACACAGATAGACAAACTGGCAATAAACCGACAATGAGGCAATATTTGTGACCTTTGAGAATACAAAGGGCACTTAACATCAAATTGGATAACAGCTCTGTAATTTACACTCTGCTTGGTAAATCAGAGCAAGCGAATTGCACAGATGTTCATCGTGCGCTCATGAGGGAAATCCCTAAGAGGCACAGTTGCTGGTGCAACAGGATGTTTGAGTAATTAACACAGAAAAAAAGTGTGATCAGTTCATACTTTTGAAGCACGTGAAGAGATCAAAGCATCTATGGATCTGGAGTAATGTGATGATGGTTGCATACTGATCACTAATTTACTTCCAGGAACCAGATTTTGCATTTCTATCATTTCTAAGCTTGTGTAACATAGACACACAGAATTTAAAATTCTTACACATGAGGCCGTGCCAATTTTCTTGGACATCCAAACAAATTAAAGAGCAAACGTTTTTTTTTTCAAAGGGTCGCAAATTAGGTGTAGTGAATCTCATTTTCTCCTAGATAAATTATGCCTAGACAGATGGCGTCAGTAATAAATGTGAGTGGAATATTTTGAGTCTAACTGGGACAACACGGGAATTACTGATAGTCTAACTTCACAGGAATTGTAGAGAAATGCTGATTGTCAAACTTCCCGTGAATTATAACTATTCACGTGTAGAGAAATGCTGACAGTCAAACTTCATGTGAAGTATGATTATTCACACAAACTGCCGGCCAAATGTAATTCGTGGGAATGAAGGAACACGGCAAATTCGTGAGTACGAAGAGGGGCATTAGAAGGCTATATAATGCCGTAGAAAGGGCTGGGAGTCAGTCTCGTTTGGGCCCAGGAACGGTGTGCATGGACAACGGTGGAAGATGTGTGGATCCAACATGTGTTTGAGAAAGAATGTTGTTTCAACGTCCAACTTGGCAAAACAAGCTAGCAGGCAAGATGTCTGCCGACCGTGTTAGTTTTCAGTCAGGACAGCTGTTGTGTTTTCGCTCATTGTGCTTGTGGTAGGACGATTGATATTTGAGATGTAATGTGTTCCTGGACAGTAGTATATTTTATGTGCCGTCTGAGGAAGCCGCGAGTGGAAGAATAAAGTGCAGAAACAGTCTCGTGTTGTTTTCCAGTCGTCCATTTCCTGCTCGTAGTGTGATGTCGGTGTGTGAAATAGGAATCGTGCAATGACGCGAGCCAGATAGAAGACAAAACAAAGTCATCGCATTAGGCCTGCATTCCTGACTTACAGACGACCCTTGCAAAAATTTCTCTTGCATCCATCCATTGTTTTTATCAATAAAATATGATACGCTCAAACAACCGTCTATATAGAGTAATCTCAAGTTAGAATACAAAAGCATTGACAGCAAATTAATATTTTCAAACATACAAATGTACAAGTGCATGCTTACATATATAAATACATATAGACACATATACAGACACACACGCAGACACACATGCTTACATACATGCATGCACACACACGCTTATTTACACACTCTCACACACACACACACACACACACACACACACACACATATATATATATATATATATATATATATATATATATATATATATATATATATATATATATATATATATATATATATATATATATATATACTGTCATACATAAAACACACTCACACATACACACTTACAGATACAAACTCACACTTTCATACATACTACATGCATGCCACTCACTCTTACATATGTATAATACATACATATATATACACACACACACATATATATATATATATATATATATATATATATATATATATATATATATGCACACACACACACACACACACACACACACACACAAACATACACACAGACATGCGTTCTTTCGTATGCATGCATACATAAAACACATATTAACAGTAATTTTCTGCTTTTAATCCAACTATTTCAACATTATCTGTGTAATATTTACCTTCAAATGTCACAAATAGTGTTTACCAAAAAAAAAAAAAAAAAACATGCTGCACCAGTTAACAAAAACAGGCAATGCACCAAAAGAGAAAACTATCAACAGAAGGTAAATGAAAAAAAAAATTAATATTGTATCATTACCTGCAATGGTTAGCACAAATTCCAACAAAATAGTCATCCACATATTTGTTACTGATTGGACACTAAGTTAGGCTTCATCTGGCTGAAATATGATCTTTGCTTGATTTATTGTGTTCTTCAAAGCTGCTGAAACATCGAAATGTTATCTGTTATTATTCCTGGAATGTCACATCTCAGTATCTCTGTTTAATTGACTATTATCTTTTTACAGGCGAAAAGGGGAAGGGAGGGGGATTCTCTTAAGCTTTTTAGATCACCACTTTTATGTTTCGATACTCCTCTCTTTTCTTTCTACATGTTTGCCTGTGGTGAGATTAGACCCACATATATTTTACTCCGTCTCCCTCTCTCTAAATCTCATCTTTCGGCTCCTTAATTTTAGCGGGGTCATACCTACAGATTTATTCTTCTGATGTACATCTCTGTGATCTGAATCTATGTGGTGTGTGTGTATGTGTGTGTGTGTGTGTGTGTGTGTGTGTGTGTGTGTGTGTGTCAAACAATGCTTGCGTTTGCAACTGAGTGCGACAAACATCGATTTATTCTATTCTCTCTCCCTCTCTCAAACTATGTATTGGGTATGCTCATAGGTGCCAGAACCTGAGGATCTCTCGCCCATTAAGGAACCATAGTCCCCTTCAAAACACCCCCCCCCCCCCCCATCCAGTTTGGTTTAGATATTGGTATCAAGAGTCGACTGTTAAGTAATCAATGGGAAACTAATAAATTTGAATTTGCTTAGTAAAACCACAACAGCTAAAAAATACAAGGGTTGGTTCTGCAAAGTCCTGTAAAGAATACGTAACTAACTATAGATTCAGTTATCTGTCACAGCACTGGTCCAGACGGTGACGGTTAATGGAAGTGTGACTGTAGTGAGTAATGCAAATACTATAGTCACCAATTTTTGACACTCACACACATGTCTGTATGGCAGGTACACAATGATATTAAACATTTTTCACTCTACTAAACACATATTCTAAAAGCATCTTTACTCCTGACAATGAATGGGAACTAAAAGAGAAAATAACTACATGTAAAATGTGCTGTCTTCGCCAGGTCACTAACAACACGAGAAAAAACATGGTTATAAATACCAGCATTAGAAAGTTGGAAAAAGACCACGTCTGGATTATACTGACCGAAAAAGAATGAAGTGATTCGGTCATCTATTGAGAATGCAGCCAGATCTGGAATGAAGGCAAGAGAAAGACTAAGAAAGAGTTGGATAAATGGTGTAGCCGAAACCTGCAAAAAATATTAACAAATCCATCACCCAAGCCGCCAGAGAAGCGCAAGAAAAATACAGAAAACCACAACACTGGGCTACAACCTGGTATCAATGAGACGCCAACAGAAGACGAGGATTTACTCTACTGCAAGAAAAATGAACTCCAAAGGACTCCCTTTACTGAATATATGATCCTCTGCCATAGGCATATGACAACTGAAACCATGATGGGCCTAGATTGTTCTAGAGAAGTACAGGGAAGGATTAAACAGTACACAATAAGAACAGGGATTAGCATATGAAATGTGTATATACCTCAAGACCAAAAAATGGTATCCCAGATAACTTTAGATATACGCACAGGTAGACTACACAGTATAATTGCTATAATTGCTTGAAAGTACACTTAAAATGTATTGAACATGACAATCTAGACTTCTAAAATATTGCTCAATAAAACTCGAGCTGTGCGATAATGCATACCCAAACGGCTATCCTCCGAATAACGGTCCCAAATAATCGAGGCCGAAAATATACACTAACAGGGCTTAGGTCACGTGTCAGTTGCGTACTTCTGGGGACTAAACCGCCACCCCCGAATTGCGTACTTCCGGCGACTTCCGTCACCGCCGAGAGTATCCCCCACGCTCACGCGGTGTGTATTGGGGCTACACTAGATGGCTGGGACTCACGAGCAAATGATTTGACTCAAGAACAGATATAACAGCACTCGGGGCATTCCCATAAACGCTCCGTTCCTATCTTCAACAACCAGCGAAGAGTTCCGATACTAATGGTTCCAGTAGCATTCTGATTAAACGTCCGTCTTTCCTTTACTCTGGGCCTCGAGCATCTGCCAGAACATCTCGTCACCCCAACTGCATCAATCTCATTAGGCTGTGGTGATCCATCTGCTCCTCCGAATTGTACACTGTCGCCCACAAGGCACCAACCACGTCTGCCTTATAGTGTATCATTATTTCACCAAGTTGTGAAGAGCCAGCCAGTTTGTCCTCTGTTCATTTCCCAACACACCGGCGTAACCCGGTGAAAAAATCCAGACAATACTCCTCACTCGTGTTCTCCGCAGCGAAGCATGCCACTCTGCACGAAGCATACCTGTTCTGATCTTCCTCAGCATGCTTTCTGAATTAGTGTTACAATCACGATGTGTGTGTATATGTGTATGTGTGTGTATGTGTGTGTGTCTCGTGTTCTCTAGCCAGCGGAAAGCTACAGTGACCGCCTCCATCTATATTCTTAAGCTGGATGTTGTGGTATCTTATGATAGGCTCTCCTGCACAAAACGTCGACCATTAACTTTTGCTAAGAAGCCCCAAGCACTTCTTTTGCCTCTTGACACTGAACCGTCTGTGTACATGATCAAATCCTCTGAGCGAGCAATATCTTGAATTAATTGCTGAATTTCCACCACTGTGACACTGCTGGCCAGTCTCTGCATTTCTGGCTCAGCGTGATTATGACTCTACACAAGTCTGACTGTTCAGGTGGCACTTGACCCACTCCACTCCTCGCCTAATGTTCTCAAGGATGCAAACCTGTCTGATTGTGTCTTCTGCCTGAGCCATCCATGACCTCCCTCTTTTCAGCCGCTGACCCTTAACTGCACCCAGAGCTTCATTCAGAGGGTGGTCTCTGTCTGCAGCTACCCTGAGTTATGACTTCGCCTGCAGCACCTTGTGCCTACCTGCAACCGTCGGCAAACCAAGGATGTATCGCATACACACTACTGGGGTGTCTCTGGTGCAACCCAGAATGACCCGCATAGCCGCCTTATGTATGCGCTCTAGTTTGTCCATCTGACTCTTTGAAACGATAAGCAGTTCCAGGCCATAGTCCACCACTGACAGCATCAGGTGCTGATATAGTGTGAAAAGCATTCTCTGCTCTCTACGAGCAAATAAAATGAAGGAAGCTGCAGGAGATGCGGTAGCTGCTGCTCGTGAGTCTAAACCATCTAGCCCCAATAAACGCCGCGTGTGCGGCGTGAGGGATACTCTTAGCGGTGGCGGAAGTCGCCGGTAGATGCGCAATGCAAGTCACCGGAAGCTCGCACTTCACACGTGACTGAGTCCCTGTTAGTATTTATTTTCGGCCTCAATAATTTGGAACCTTTTTTTCGGAGGATAGCCAAATATCCCAATTATTACCCGGATTGGTTGAACTTGACATTGTTGTATCAATTACTACTGCATACCTATTTAACAATCGTCATCATTATTAATTAATGCATCCAGACATAACTGTTAATGCTAAGAAACAGATAATAAACAGCGTATTCATTCCAACATTAGGCTACCAGTGCCAAACAGGGACATTATTTAAATTTCATGTACACGAAATCACCACCTGTGCGATAGATGCCTAAAAAGAGCCACCAACCTAAACATCGGAGATATCCTTACGTCCTTTATAGGATGTAATTTTTTGTTATTTGAAGCCCCACCCTGGCTTTTTCCAGGGGCCGCAATATAGGCAGGCCATAAATATGGCCAATTGTCTGAACGCGGTTTCTGGGACCTCTCCACGGCGATCCTCATCCACATGGTCGCACTTTGTGTCATCGGGTGTTTATCGCTTGTGTGAACAGCAGGTCAAGTGGAGTGGCCATCTTGTTAGAAACAGCAAGATCGAACACCATCACAGGCACTACATCTCAGAAAAGGAGCTATACGATCAAGTGGACGGCCACGAAAAAAAAAAAAAACGACAACATTAAAGACATCTACGCCTTCATCGCATAACAGCCGGTGGCAGCCAGCGCGCACTGGATCGCAAATTATTCCTCACCACGACGCTAAACGACAGAAGTTGTTTATTTTATAAATATATATATGATCGGGCACAAGCTACACATATACATATAATGAAAATAATGATTGCATCCGTTTAACTGATATGTTTAATGTATATTAGATACTCGCCTTATCTTATCGCCGGCCATTATGTTACTAGGCAGCGTTGCAACTTTATTTTAAGCCAAACTACTACCAAAAAATACGCCAGAAAACGCCAAAAAAAAAAAAAAGGATAAAATAGTACCCATTTCACATTAGTTTTTACAGGGGTAGAAAATTATACGAAAGAGAAAAAGTAGGTAAAAAAGAAAAAATAGTTTATGTTAGCTTTACAAAACCGATCACAATAAACAAACAATGGACGTTTCGGTGATTAGCCTTCATGAGGTCGTAAAGAACAACACAGTATACATAAACAAATATGCTCTATGAAGTGACAACAAAAGGACTCTAACGTACAGAATAAATGATACTAATCTGTGTCCCTGGTGACAAACTTCGTTTAAGAGGATGAATAGGATAGGTAATAGCCTATTTATCGCCAAAGCGCAGACGAGGGCGAAAAACGGGGCCAGTATACCTGGGAAATGGGCGGAGTAGACGTCAACAGACAGAACAGCGTACACTGAGTGTCTAAAGAGGGAGGGAGGGGTTGGCCAATATTGTGTGACCAGGGTTGGGTCGTAAGGATGACATTAGTCTACCCGCATAGAATAAAAGTGATGCCTGTGCTTGCGAGCAAATACCAACAGACAGACAGGCAGGCCGGCAGACAGGCATGCTGATAGATAGACAGACAGACAGACAGACAGACAGACAGACAGACAGACAGACAGACAGACAGACAGACAGACAGACAGACAGACAGACAGACAGACAGACAGACAGACAGACAGACAGACAGACAGACAGACAGACAGACAGACAGACAGACAGACAGACAGACAGACAGACAGACAGACAGACAGACAGACAGACAGACAGACAGAT